GACATTTTAGTGCCCCCCAGGTTCAGAGCACGAAATAAGGCATTACCTCCTAGTCGCCAAGCATAACCTTTGATGATAGATCGGTTTAATGAGCTCACAACCAAAATACCAGCCACCAGTGTTTCCTCTGTTACTGTAGTTCTGCAGTGGTGACTTAACTGTTAGCTTGGGCTCCACACCCAAGTCTGTATTAACTGAAATGATGCTCCAAGTCCACATTGAAGGGCTTCCTTTGAGCTTGTCTTGAATACAAATATTATTTCAAACTGGTTTACTTGGATTTTTTTACCAAGATATACATTTACTTTCATTTCAAATCAATAATATGAATATATCCAGAGGAAACACCAGACAATGTGCACACTAATGCATACCCCAAACCTCTAAAATTAGGCAAATAATCAAAGCTTTTCTACCTTTTCCAGTTCAGATGAGTAGCAGAGGGAGCGTTTTCTGCATACTTCCTAAATGGCTTCGATTTTGAGTCGTACAGAGCGCTGTCGTTTCAGTTCTGCCTTTCAGCTGAGATGTTGCTGGGAGGAGCAGTAAATGCAGAGAGAGAGAGAGAGAGACCGAGCTGGAGTATGAGGCAGAGAGCTGCCGAGTGGGAGGGTGAGCATATGGATGGCATGGCGGATGGGAGATGGAGTAGTATTTCTATTAAAGGGACAGAGATTTTGGTCTTTAATACTATAGTGAGACTTTACAATAGAAGATACAGAGATCCTATCCCTATTGAAATACTACGTTTCAGAATGGAAATCTGAAATAGTTTTTCATTGAAGACAATTCAACGTCTGTCATGGTGGTTAAATCACAGGTGCAAATAATAAAACTGACCAATGGCTGATTTCAATTCAGTGCCCTCAGTGTTAGTCATTCTATTGTGCATGCTACTATGTCAAATCAGAATATAATCATACCAAATACATAATGTCTTTCATTGTTTTTTATTTTAAGATGCAACCCATTACAGAGGATGTCAAACGTAATTGGAAATGTATTGTAATGGCTGTTTGAGAAACTTGTTATATTGCTAAAAAAAATTCAATGGCTTTTGATATTTGATTGACCCAGGGGAAAAACGATAAAGATTAGAGAGCTGCAATTCTATGTTCTGATGTCGTACTGGTCCAGGTGTAAGGGACTCCTGGATCTTCTTCAAATCCCCTTTATGAAAGTTGATTAAAAAAAATGTCAGCACACTCCAAATGTCAACATCAAGTATTTTTTTTATTGTCTGGAAAGCATATTCTGTTATGGGTGCTTTAGATGTAGACAAAAGCATTTAATTTAGTTAGTGTTTTAATAGCTACCTCTTTTAAGTTTGAAATGTTAATGACACAATTTCATTTATCAATGCCAAAATGCTATTAGCACTCCAATGATTTCATCTACACATGAATGAGTTCACGCCAGTTGTTCTTCCAAAATAAAAGGTATCATTTATTCTTTTTTTTACACCGTATATATAGTATCTGTTACAGACATCTAGCACTTAAACTTTGTAAGTGCTAGTAGAAAAGTGCACACCAGCAAGTGGGGGAACAGTATTTGACCTTTAACCATGAACTTTTTTCATACAAGGATTAATATCTGATGCTACAACCATAGAAAGATCTGATAAACGACAAAAATGAAACCGATCCCAAATGATTAGATATTTTGTAAAACTCTAACGGAATTTTCAGAATTCAGAAATGCAATAACTGTCTAGCATTTGTTGGGTAACACTCTGCCTCTAAAACACTTAGTGTTGTCTTTTTGGGATCATTGAATGCTCAAACAAATCACTCGAAGGCTTTACTCAAACTTGATTCCCTGGGCCAGAGGAAGATCCTTGCTGTAGTTTATCGTGCAGGTTGAACGCCTCATGTACTGCTTCCAGGAGTCACTGCCAGACTCTCTTCCGCCTCCCGTGTGTTTCTCTCCACCAAAGGCTCCTCCGATCTCGGCTCCACTTGTAGGAATATTGACATTCACGATGCCGCAGTCGGATCCTTTGGGCCCCAGCCAACGGAAAACTCTACCCATATCTTTGGTGAAGATGCTGCTGGACAGGCCCTGCTGCACCTCGTTGTTCCAGGCGAACGCCTCCTCCTCTGTCTTGAACTTGAGGACGTACAGTATGGGGACAAAGGTTTCAGTGTGGACAATGGGAGCGTCATGCGCAAGCCCTGTGATGATGGTGGGCTCTACGTAGTTTCCAGGGCGGTCCATCACCTTTCCGCCATAGACGACTGTGCCACCCTGCTGCTTGGCCTGCTCAATAGCTGCCAGATACTGATCCACAGCTTGTTTGGTGTGCAGAGGCCCATAAAGGGTGGTGGGATCCCAGGGGTCTCCAATTCTGACTTGTTTGTAGGCCTTGGCGACCCTCTCAACCACTGTGTCGTGGACGCTCTCGTGCAGCATCAGCCTCCTGGTGGTGGTGCAGCGCTGGCCAGCGGTTCCCACAGCTGCAAAGACGGAGGCGGGCACCACAAGATTCAGGTCAGCATCCTCAAACACGATGATAGCATTGTTACCACCGAGTTCCAGAAGCTTACGACCGAACCTATCCTGCACCGTCATGGCCACCATCTTGCCAACGTTAGTGCTTCCGGTGAACGACACCAGATCCACCCGCTCATCCTTCGCCATGGCTGAGCCGATATCAGCACCTCCGCAGGTCATGGAGCAGATAGCACCAGGCAGGTTGTTCCGCTCCAGCACCTCGGCCACGATCTTAGAAATTGCAACACTTGTAAGGGGTGTGGTTGGAGCTCCTTTCCAGAGGCAGACGTTGCCACAGGTCAGAGCGATGGCGTTGTTCCAGCCGTAGACAGCCACTGGGAAGTTGAAGGCAGTGATGATACCGACGAGACCAACTGGGTTCCACTGTTCGATCAGGGCATGTCCTGGTCTCTCTGATGGCAGCATTGGCCCACCAATCATTCTCGACAGACCAACAGCATAATCACAGACATCAACGTATTCCTGAACTTCTCCCACTCCCTCAACATAGATTTTGCCCATTTCTAGAGACACCAGGCTCCCAAGGACGTTAATCTTCTTTCTAAGTGCATCTCCAATCTGCCTCACTATCTCCCCTCTTTTGGGAGCTGGAATATCTGCCCACATCTTCCAAGCCTCCTTCGTCTTCTGGACAGTTTCTTCATATTCTGCCATGGTCGCCTGGGTCACTCTGGCGATTGGCTCATTGTTGGCAGGACAGTATGAAGTGATGACCTCGCCACTGCCTCCCCAGCTCCCATTGTAAACGCCAGGGTTGTCCTCAGACAGGCCCAGCTCTTTCAGCCAGGAGTATTTGGGCTGGTTGATGAGGAGACCTGACATGGCTGCTGACTGCTGGCAGTGGGCAGATGCAAATTTGTTTCTCAATAGGAGCCGGCTGTGACGGGCAAAGGTCAGGGTGAGGCAGCGCTGCATGGGTGCTGGAAGTAAACCAAGTTAAAAAGTTATTTTACAAGTTAAAAAAAATTGAAGCTCATGTATAAAGGATTGTTGACCGAACAATCTAAGAAAAGCTTTCAGATGAGCTTGTTATGTTTAGAGCTGGAACCTTCATAGTTATTATTCTGTTGATTAAGTATTTTAGATATATTGAGCAATGGTTTAGTCAATAACATTTCGAAAAATTATATATTATTCAGTTTAAAATAAAAAAATGGAAAACTATACAAATTCTCACATTTGCAAATCCTGAATCATAGAATATCTGTTTCGTAGATTAAAAAATCAATTACATGATTATCAAAGTAATATTTTAGCATTTGTACGTCAATTGATTAATCAATAACGGGACCATTCAAATCCATATCTGCTGTTTTCAAACTCAAAAGTTAATGTTCAATTTCAAAATGAATGAATTACTTAAAAAAAAGAAGCTTGAACTTCGTCATAGTCGTATGCAAGACACAGTTAATGTCCTTCAGGGAATGACGACAGTCAACAGGTGTTGACCAGAGACTGCTGGTATAAAAATAGGAACTTTTAGTTATATTGATTCCTAGGTATGCATAAATTTACATAACAGAATTGTGAAAGATATTCTTATTCGTTCCGAACAGATAAGTTGATTAATCAAAATGAACCATATTGATTTAAGATTAATCTACAACAAATGTGTTAATTGATATCACGTTTCCCAATTTTACTGTACCAAATATCCACTGGTTTCAAATGTAAATACATGTTCTGCTTTTGATAGTCAATGTAATGAAAACTAATCTCTTCGCGTTTTGCACTGTTGGTGACACTAAAAAGGCAATTTTGAGAGGTCACCTTGGGCTCCATTGCTTTTTTTCACTATACAATAGATCAATACTGAAAATGCATTTTATTCTCATATAAAATATGTGCCTATATACAACATAGCAGGAAGTGAACATAACACAAGCCACCCGTTAATCAATATGCATCAGAACTGTGACTATATATTACTCATGCTTGTGTTGTTGGATAGTCTATCAATTATAAACTCATACATCTTCATAGACTTAAAATATCTAGCAAGCAAGTTACTCAACATGTCACAACCTGTGCGCTTGCGCATTAACCCAACTTTGGACAACCACGAGGCTGTGCAAAATTGGACTTTAAATATGGAACTAAGAACATAAAAACCAAACAGTAAGAAATTACAATATCACTGAATGTACACTAAAATAATAATGCGACGTTAGCATTTCAGATATTGCAAATAAGTAGTAGTGTTGCTACTTTTGCAGCTTGAAGTGACATGGTTGCCGAGATCAGCGTCAATCTTGTTTAGTCTAAACGACCGTGACCCAAGGTCCTGCAGTAAACACTCACTAACATCACCTCAGCGTTATAAAACCTGCTCTTACACTTCATGCACATAACTTTGTAATGGTTAAAAGTAAGTTAGTGCTTCTTATGTATCAGTTTTTCACTCACGTTGATATAAAGAACGCAGGGCCACGTCCACTTCAGAGCATGGAAGTAGTACTTGCAGGATGTTTCCGTCACAGTTTAAGCGGAAGTACCCACGCTGTGCTGCGTCCTGATTGGTCCGACGTGTGGCGCCTGCTTTGTTAGATTGATCCATGCTAACATACTCCCTTTGTTGTGATTAACCGTTTAGCGGTTGTGTTTCTGCTTTAATAACTTATATTAAGATTGTTGCCGTTGAGATAATCCAAACCATGAGTGGCGGAGTGTATGGAGGCGGTGAGTGGGCTCTAATGATTACAATAAAACGAAACCGTTATACACGCTTTAGCCAGCTTTAAAGTTAGCTTGCTATGCTATCTGTGCTAACGTTTAGCTCCGCGGTAGACCGAAGCAACATTCTTGCGAACATCTTTAATTGTTTTTAAGAATATGTGCATTTAAAATGTTAAGTGCGTAGTGTTGTGACTTGATCTTAGGTGTGTTTATGCAACAACCCTGTAACTCCGGTGCCGCTTAGCTAGCCAGCTAGCTAGCAAGGAAATGAATGAAAGTGTGTGTCCCGATCTCACATTCAGTTCCGTTTGTGTAACGTTTTTAAAGCTTTCTTGGAGTTGGAGATACATGTTTCCATTATGCTTGATATAACCGTTTTTCGGGATAAGGTCTCTACATCTTAACCTCTCTGTTGACATTATGTAATCGAAGATAAAACTTCAGATGTATTTTGCAGAACTGAATAACTTCTTTATTAGATGGATCGGTTGTTTTTGGTACTTTAATATGCCTTTCAAATTCAAATAAGCTTCACTAGCATCATTGCAGATCAGATCTCTACATTTACAAATTGTATAGATGTTTAGTAGTAAATATACAGCAAATATTAACAATAGTATACACTATTAAACTGATTATGCGTAAATGTGCTGATTTACACTGAACATAATAACATGCATTCACACAAATGCAGAGTAATTAGTTAAGTATATATTTGTAAGAAGTATAGTGGGGCATTCCCATATAAGTATGCATGCAGGGATGAATAATAAAGCTCAGGGATTACAGAAAATATTGCACCTTGGAAAACCCGACCCACAATTTAATTTAATCAACATATGGGTTGCAAGTTGACCTTTACAAATTATTATCCACCATTGCTTTACAGAGAGGACCCTGTTTTATGGTATTGTTTGTATTCTGGTGTAATGGAGTTTAAACGTTTGAGAAGCTTTGGACTGTTTTCTGCATGAAACAATTATATTGAAAGACAATCAATTATCTTATTGAATTATTGTCTGGCCCTATGTTGATTGTAATGATTACCATGCCATACAATTAAAGTTACATTCAGCAACGGGAACCTCATGCAATCTATATTTTGTATTGTTAACTCTATATTCCACTTTTTAAGTATTTGTATTTTAATGTCTGAACACACTGCTGCTTTTGTAACAACATAATTTCCCAAATTGGGATCAATAAAGTATATATCTATCTATCTAAAGGCAGCTTTACTACAATATACTAAAACACTTTATTTTACTTTAAGCACCAGGAAAAGCACTATATAAATAACATGTATTATTATTACTACTATTATTATTACTATTAAATAATAGATCTGACAAATCCAGAAAAACAGCCTGTGTAGCGAATTTGTGAAAGTTGAGAGGACATATGTGTCATAAAAGTAAAATGTTGGTACGTACAACATACTAACCTGATATATAACAATTCCACTTGTGATTTGCATTTTCACACCACATTTCAGAAGGTAAAACGATGTTTATTGTACATAGAGCTTGCCATTTATCGTATCAGAGGAGTTAGTTTAACAATCAATAGCCTCTGCATCAGGGTCAATAAATTGTGTGATTTTACAATTGTATAGTTAAAGTAATTAATTTACTTTCTGTATTTCATCTTAATAACTATTTTGATTCAGATTTCCGCACTTAGTTAACATTTAGATTTAATTGGCGAGGCATTAATAACCAACATGTGGATCGAGCATAGATTATCAATGTGCAAAACAAAGTATGTATAGTATTTGATGAGGAGGTAAACTATACATACTAACCTCTCAGGTGTATATATATATTTTCTAGAGTTTAATTCACATTTGTTGCAATTCTTTGCAGATGAGGTGGGAGCTCTGGTGTTCGACATTGGCTCATACACTGTAAGAGCTGGCTATGCAGGAGAAGACTGTCCCAAGGTAAGTGGATCACTCAGATGACCTGATTAACTATGTGCATTTGTCTTCCTCTGAGTATCCTTATCTTCCCTCCTGGGGTCTGTCAATGTCAAGAAATGAGGGCTGTCACCCTGGAGACAGACGGCATGAATTCAGTTCAGATCTTTCTGGATGCTTGCTTAGGTTTTAATTTATCTATCATTTAGGTAGAATGTTGATTATATAAATATCAGTTGGATAAGAGAAATGTTAAAGATGGCATTTATCTCTGTAATATTGGCCCTGTGAAAATACCCCAGATTGGATGTACTGGTCATCATATGGTATAACATTCAGTTATATTATATACTTTGTGTGATATAATGCTTAACCCCAACCTATCATCACCATCCTTACACTTTCCTGTTTTCAAATATAATATGTTGTACTTATTAGGGATGTTACGAAAAAACAGATATGTAGTTATTGACACCCAGTGAAATTCCACAATTATCAATACCCAATTTGGTGCCTCTGAGAAATCCAAACAGATAACAATACATCTGATATACTACACAATATACTTTTTTACCATTTTTAAAGGCCTTATAGTTTCGACTTGAATCAATTTTATGTGTATTGAAGAACAAGAACTCTCTATTCAACAACTGAATTCACGTTTCTCAAAAAACAACATTTGACATGATTATATTTCGACACAAGGATCCTTGCAGAGGAAATGTACATTGTTAAAGCAAAAGTATAGGTATAGATGACGTTTTTTTAATAAAACACTATCAACTAAGAGGCGTGCGGAATATTTCAAAACTAAAAAATATTACAATTTACAAAAGTAGACATCATGACCCAGTTACTCAAGATGATCCACAGAGCATTCTGTGAGCTGTTTAATATAGGATTTAGGATTTTGTTCTACTTGAATACACCAGCAAACCCTATGACCGTAGATGCACACTTCCTTCTGTCTGATGACACAGTGGTGCACACAATAAGTCCCTTTTTGAGTGTCATAACCTGTATTGTGTTCTGTTTTGTATCTGCTCAGGCGGACTTCCCTACGGTGATAGGCGTGACCCTCGACCGAGAGGATGGCAGCACGCCAATGGAGACGGATGGTGAAAAGACCAAGCCGAGTGGCACCACCTACTTTATTGATACCAACCAGCTGAGGGTACCCCGGGAGAGCATGGAGGTCATGTCTCCGCTCAAGAATGGCATGAGTGAGTGTTGATTCATGGCGTGCAATTATTATTAAAGAACATTAAGGTATTTAATTGCCGTGTTCTTGTGTTAGTCTAAGGGATTTGCCAGGCTGTCTTCTGCTTATCTGCAGTGCTTACAACCCTTATGAACATACATGAGGGGTTTGTATGACTCCCCCTTTTTTTCTTGGTCTGTGACGTAAACTTTCCAATGAATATTGATAATCCTGTCTGCTTGATCCATAACCATAATTAGACTACTTTGGTCTGACTGCGATCCATCTTCGTAGATGAACTCGTCAGAACTCTGACTGACCTATAGATGACTGCTGTTCATCATCAATATTAATGAGGTTATTTGAAGACCAAGGCAACTCATTAACATGAGCTCCAACATGAGCCTATATTGTCCTTTTATGGCGCGTTTCCACTACAGCCCGCAGCCCGGTTTAAGAGGGCTGTGACGTCAGCGGCCCGTCTTTGGTTGCGTTTCCACTTGGCCTAGTACCGGCCGGCGGGTCCTAATTCACAGTTTTTCTGGCCTCATAAAATCGTGGGGCCAGGGCCAGAGGCAACGAGGCTGAGTCGGGCTGAGTATGCTAAACTAGAGAGAGCGTCGCTGGCAAGGGGGCAACAACTACAACAAGATGGACATATTTGACCGTGATTTAATTGTAATACACGTTTCAAAATGATGCCGAAGTAACAACATACTGATACCGGTTAGTAAAAACCATGAATTAATGCTTTGTCAAGTCTGCAGACAGACGGCAGGGGAAAAACCTTTTAAAATGCTTGTTTTCTAAATGGAGATTGGCTAAGCTAACGCAGTATATGCCCCGACCGTCCACACTCACAACAACGGCCTATACAGACATAAATAAAGCAGCGACTGTATTCACCATGACACAGACAGTCTGTGGTTTGTACTTGTTTAACTTTTGTCTAGTTTCTGAACATATATGAGGAGCTGTGAGCTCTGAGTGCTAACAGCTAATGGCTGTGTTGTTTTTCTGGGGTCCTCTGAAGATCACGTCACGGCTCCGCCTACACTGCGTTACTATAGATCAGGGGTCTCCAACCTTTCTTCATCTGAGAGCTACTTTCAAAAAATGAAAGTGGCCAAGAGCTACTTGCATCACATCGCTTACATTTATTCACATAGCCCTCATCAGTTGAATTAAGCTATACTTTTGTACACGTGTGAAATTGCAATACCTAAAGCTTATCAAAAATCTTAACTTCACATCAAGGTCCAAGAAAACGAAGATTTCTCACATATTATTATGGCCCACGTATACGTACATCACTTAACATTCACATAAGTGTCCTTAATCACCACCTTACAAGCATTTCACTCTTTTGTTAGTGAGATGAATGGCACTGGCAGTCCACCATACAGGTGTATGCTGGAGTGTACCCATTAGGTTCACTCTAATAGAGTCATTTAAATGTTCTTCAGTCAGTCTTGTTCTGTATTTAGATTTCATTCATGTCAGAAAAAGCTGCTTCACAAAGGTATGTAGAACAGAACCAAATAAAGCAGACATTTTCAGTGCTGCTTGGTGAATGTTCTATAGTTTTCGGGGTCTACAAGGCTCCAGAAATGTTGTGAGTTTTGCTGAGACTTAAGCTGAACATTATTTTGGAGATCTCCACAGGATTGACACTGAACAGTTGTTCAGCCATCTTTTTCTTCTTCTTCTTCGTCTTGACATTAAATTATAAACCATAATAAATCAATTGTATAGGTCTAGCCTCCCTATATCTGTGTGTGAAAATGGTTCCATCCTCAAAAACAAAAGACTAATGCTTCTGCAGTCTAGCTGCAGCTTCTAGCTACGGTCTTCTGTTAAAAAAAAGACACTGAATGTCCTGAATGTGGCATCACACACAGGACTTAAGTCTGAACACAGCAGACAACAGGAGTATTTACAACAGCATTATAAAAACAAAAATAGTGCATATGGGTGCACACTTACATTCTCTGTCTTACTGTTACATAAATCCCATGAATGTATGAGATTAGGTTAACTTCATCATATCTCGTTCAGTGATTAAGTGAATAATAAAGTTTCTATCGGGTCACTATCAGCCTGTCACTCATTATTTTCAGGGAGGGGGCGGGGTTTGGAGGAACGGAGAGGAGACGGTGATCGCGGAAGCTTTATTCCTGCCTTCACAAACTTTACACAAGTATTTATCAACTGAAAATAGCAAGAGGACATTCATACTCTGCAATCCAAGACTTGATTAAATCCACCAAAAACCTGACATGACGATAACGAGTGTTTTTCAAAAAACACAAATCCCTCCCTGTGTGTCTCTGAGCCGCAGCGACAGGGCCTGATTCAGAGCGGGTCATTCTGCTGTTGGTTCTGGACTGGTGTTGGTGGAGAAAGCAGACTGCTCCGTGTGTGGTGTCGCTGTGCTGCTGTCACGTCTGTTCCTAGATCTCTGCGTCACCGACCATTTGATATTCGTGTGACAGAAACAATTCTAAAATAAAAAAACGTTATTGGCAGCCGCGGCCGAAAAATCAATAAGCAACCTTACTACGCAATAATCGATAATCGAGCGGCGAGCTACTGAAAAGCTGCCCGCGAGCTACCGGTAGCTCGCGATCGACGTGTTGGAGAGCCCTGCTATAGATACTGCCCCAGTTCCTAAACTGTAATGGAAATGCGCCATAAAGTGAGCCAGTCCTAACGAGGCCCAGCCATACCGAGCGGGGCCGAGCGAGGCCGTGTAGTGGAAACGCGACATTAGTGGAAGACAGACCCCCTCCGTCTTGGGTTCACTGCCATGTCTGCCTGGTAGTCATAATACTTTCCCATCCTTGTTTGTTCTTCGTCATCTTCTTCGTCATGGGTGTGTCAGGCATTCAAAACCAGATGTGGGTCGCATGCCCTGAGCTGTCCTTGGTGCTGAACTTGAACTCACTCTTGGATTTTGGATTGTTTTCCCATGCTTTTGTACGACTCTTTTTATCCAAAGCAAAGCCTGCAACAGACAAATATTTGGCTGATTAACTACATTTTTATTATTGTTTATCAATTATTTCTTTAGTCTACAAAAACTACATTTAATAAAAGTTTAAAATGCTCATTACGATACATTTTTCAGAACAGTTATTCATTTCCCCATCTGTTAATCGATTAGTAAATTGTCTAATTATGTCTGCTTTGTCAAAAGCATTACATCCTGTTCTATGAAAGCCACCTTTTGCTGGTGTGTTTGATTTTGGTCACCTCAGTATTGTAAGTATGTCGACAGCAGATATTAAACAAGCGCTCCGGTGCACTGACCTAGCGGATGATGCTCTTCAGAATCTGGTCCAGTGGAGTTTGGTGTGAGGCTATTTAGAGAAACCACAAGTGTGACACCAAATTAATTGCAGCAGAACAAGCGCTGTGGGACTTCAGGCTCCCTCTGAGGGCTGACCTGGAACATCGGTGCCTGACGCTCAAATTATTATCTAAAAAAGCTCATCATCGCACTATTTTCTTCACCATGTGACCCAGTTATGACGACGATAGATACATTTATTTTGTGACGTAGGTCTGTAACTGAAAAAATAAATAGATTTCTTTTTATAAAGAGGTTTTTCCAGACCTAGCTAATACGTGCTTGAAATGTTTCTATGTTTGTGAACATGACTTTCCCAATGGTAAAGAACATATAAGGATTGTCCTAAGTTTAAAACACCCATCTTTTTTTATTTAGTTTTCCACCATACAGCACATTATTTCCAAAAAGAGGATGCTTTTACTTTGGCTTTTGGTTGTTTATTGAGTTCAACTATAATAGCTCAAAATGGTAAATGAGTAGTAATTTGTCAGTGTTTTCACATTTAACAAGCCTTGTCCTTGTTTTCTCTTCTATCCCCTTTACAGTTGAAGATTGGGACAGTTTTCAGGCCATTTTGGATCACACCTACAAGATGCACTTCAAGTCTGAGCCCAGCCTGCATCCAGTGCTCATGTCAGAAGCATCGGTGAGTCTGAACACAGGCTACTTGTACTACTGTCACTATACCAAGGACAAACTGTATTCAAATTGTTTACATTTGTCTGCCAACAGCAAAGCGCTGGCAGACTATTAAGTGTTTAAAAGTTGTAAATACTTATTGTGGCTGGTGATTTTGTTTGAGCTGTCTGTTTTTAGCCTGCCTTTTAGGTGACCTCCTCACCTCATGAAGAAATGTGTTGACAATCTGTTGTAAGCAGCCCTTTTTCTGCTTTGTCTCCGCAGTGGAACACACGAGCAAAAAGAGAGAAACTAACAGAGCTGATGTTTGAACATTACAACATTCCTGCCTTCTTCCTCTGCAAATCCGCTGTACTGTCTGCGTATCCTTTACCACACTCCATCTGGAAAATAATTAGAGAAAGAGCAAATCTTTGCCTTTAAACCCTTTATTGGAGTACTGTTTCTTTAATAAAGAATGCTCAGCTAGTAATGCATCTGTTACATTTTGAAGTGTATTACATTTCCTTTACTCTGAGTGTCTCAGCTTTGCCAATGGGCGATCTACAGGCTTGGTCCTGGACAGCGGAGCCACGCACACCACAGCCATTCCAGTGCATGATGGCTACGTCCTGCAGCAAGGTGAACAATTATCATAAATCCTTCATCATTAGTGTATATAATCTACATGCAGAGTTGACCTGCTTTGCATATCAACCAAGTAAGGGAAAGCAACAGTATTAGAAAAGGTATAATCCTTCATTGAAGCATGTGCTACCTTCTATGATTTATGTTGCCCTCTGCTGGTTGGAGGATGCATCTCAGTTAAGGCAGCTGTTCCTACAAATGTTAGTATTTAATAAGCTTCTTTTGCCATTATAGATTATTTTTGGGCAAGAGGGATTTTCAAGTTTTCACCTATTCAAGATTTGAATGACTTTTGAGGACCAAACTAAACTGTGTTGACTAAAAAAATATACGTTCTGATACACAGCTGTTAGGTTTTGAGCTGCAATGAAAGAGATTGATTCAGGAGATTGCTAATTCTTTTGAGAGACATGAAGTGGGGAGTTAATGCACATCATGCGAACTTAGATGAGATTTACTGCAGTCCTTCCAATAATGTGTTTTGCATTCTCTCTGACAGGCATTGTCAAATCGCCCCTGGCTGGAGACTTCATGAGCATGCAGTGTAGGGAGCTGTTTCAAGAGTTAAATGCTGAAATAATCCCCCCGTACATGATTGCATCAAAGGTAAGATAACATGACTTTAGCCCATCTTATTTGTAATAATCTAGTAGAAATATTTAGCATTATTCTATGCTAAAGTTGCATTAGGGTGCAGGACAGGTGAAGATGGTGCCTGTCAAATATTCTTATATTAACAAATGTGTATTTGCTAATTCAGTAAATGTATTTTTTTATCAAATCAATTATACAGCAATGCAAGTTTGTTCCTGTTAATACTGTATGATTTGATTTTCATATGTGCATTTTAATTGGATTTACTGGTTTGGAAAGTTATGTTAAAGCATTCAAATATACAATTTGTCAGGGTGATCGTAATAACTTTGTTGACCATTAGATATATATCATAAAACAAAAAACAGTATGGAGTGATTAAATATTTAAAGGGAAAACCTAAGAGAGCCTGATAAATGTAGAACCAGCCTAGACTCAGGAGCACACTTGTCCAAGTTTGTAAAACAAATACAAAAATCCTCAAATTGAAAAAGGCAGACTTCAATTCACTCTTTACTTCTTTACATGACAGGATGGAGTGAGAGAGGGATCAGCAGCCAGCTGGAAGAAAAAAGAGAAACTACCTCAAGTCACCCGCTCATGGCACAACTACATGTGTAACGTAAGCAGCACACGTGGACTCCCTGACATTTGTTGTATCCCTAATAAATGAATGAATTGTAGATTTGGCTGGTGTGCGTTGTGTTTTGATAAATGTGTGCCAACTTGTCCTTTTCTTAATGTTTGCAGTGCGTGATCCAGGACTTCCAGCAAGCTGTGCTGCAGGTGTCAGACTCTCCATATGATGAACAGTAAGCAACTTAACATGTCAATAACATTATACTTTACTTGAACCCTCAGCTTCTGTTGAGGTGTGCATGCCAAAAGTAAGTCTCTTTTTTAGATTAGGTTAAAATGTCAACTTCATCTCAATTTAATTATGTCGTCCGATCAAAGGGTCCTGTAACTTGGAGCAGTCAGTTCCACTATTAAAGTTATTTACTGTTTTTTTTATGAGATAGAAGTTACAAAAACGTGTCTGTATGCTGCACATTATTGTTCTTAGAAAAAAAGGAAATTTAAATCAGAATCAGAAGCTCAGACTTGAAAAAACAACAACAATCAGCCAAGAAAATATCAACGAGTGCATCTCTACAAGTAACCCCCCCCCCCCCCTCTCTCATCAGGATTGCTGCACAGATGCCCACAGTGCATTACGAGCTGCCCAACGGCTACAACGCTGACTTTGGAGCTGAGAGGCTGAAGATCCCCGAGGGGCTCTTTGACCCCTCCAATGCCAAGGTGGGTGCTATTAAGGTGGAGGGAACTGAGCAGCCGAACTAGCTAAACATGCTGCTCAAGGATTGTTTTAGGCATTCAAATGTGTTGTTTTTCATGAGAAATCTATCCCTTTAAAAAAAAAAAATGTAATTTAATGCTGTTTGTTGTGATCCCTTCAGGGCCTGTCTGGAAACACCATGTTGGGAGTCGGCCACGTTGTGACGACCAGCGTGGGAATGTGTGACATCGACATCCGGCCGGTGAATATCAACATGTTTAAATATGGGTTACACATTTGTTCCTTTTCGACACTTCAGTTGAACTTGTATCCATTTAAATGTGGCCTCTAATAGTCATTCATATCAAATGACTGAACAAATCTTGCTTAAACCTTTTTGTTGATGATAAATCTTGCCGGAAAAGTAGATTCATAAAAGGTGAAATTTAGACAAACCTGTAGCTTCAACTAAAATGCTTTCAACAGTGCCTTGAATTTGTATTTGTTGTTCTGTCCAAGACAATTGAGAAACAGTATGTGATTGCAATATATATACTGATGTCAACAAGTACATTAAAATCACATCTCAAGTAGAAAAGGCTATTTGGGGCAAATTGGTGAAAATCAATATATTACAATTTTTGGTAATTAATGTATCCATTGCCCTATCCCAATTATTTTAACACGGAAACTCTTTGCTGAACCTTTTGACTTTGTGTCTCAGGGTCTTTATGGCAGTGTGGTGGTGACTGGAGGAAACACGCTCATTTCGGGCTTCACAGACCGACTGAACAGAGAACTCTCCCAGAAAACCCCTCCGGTGAGTGAATGCCAAAACTCCCTCACACATCTGATTTAAGATTGTTATCATAGGCCTTGGTTAATGAAAGATTGGTGTATGCACAATTGCTTATGTGGTCCATCGGGACCAGAGCCTCTCGGCACCTGAACAGTTTCTTCCCCTCCGCTACCGGCCTCTTAAACAAGGCCCGGCCCCCCCGCTGACACTTTACCTCTGCCACATCATAGACTATATGCATTACATTAATGCACACAATGTTCATACTCCTAGATGCACATATTCTTATTTCACATTTCATAGTTTATATTCTAAAATTCATTCATAGCATTCTATTTCCATGTAAATTACTGCTTTATTTAATTTGTATTGCTATTTAACTGTATTTAATTTTATTACGGTGTAAAAAAGATTTTGTGTTTTATATTAGATTTCTTGTTTCTTGTTTTTTATATTTTATGTATGCACCATGACATCAAGTCAAATTCCTAGTATGTGCGAACCTACCTGGCAATAAACCTGTTTCTGATTCTGATTCTGATCTTTGAAATACAGCCATCAAACCCTACTCTCCTTCCTGTCTGAGTTTAACTTGTTGGTCTGTGGTTTGCAGAGCATGAGGCTGAAGCTGATCGCCAACAACACTACAGTGGAGCGCCGGTTCAGTGCCTGGATAGGAGGCTCCATCCTGGCATCACTCGTAAGGACACACTGCAGTTCAAACTAAATATATTACCAACAGTTTCTTGATAATGACAGTGGTTCTCACACAATGATGCAATTTAAAGCCCAGATCTGGTGAATTTCACAAGCCGTTAACTACTAGGAAGTGTTTTTTTTATAAAAGGAGCAAACGGTGTTTAAGGAGCAGCGACATGGCATTCATATCCAAAGAATTTAAGATTGTGTACATCTGGATTATAGGAGCCAACATGCTTTTGCCATTGCTTATTATTTATATTATTATCTTCATTTCAGTTTACACCACGCTTAATTCTTATTGGTTATCACTTCCGGCAATTGTTTTAGCCTCTCTGCGGCATAACTCATAGGGAGTTTTTGCCGCTACAGTACACCTTTGTTTTTTTTAAGATAATGTAAGAACTTGTATTTCAATAAGTTTGCAGTTTACTTTTTAGCCTTATTGCCACTGATTTGATAAAGTGGCTGCAAAATGCATAAGAACTGTATTCACACATCCAAGTGGCTTGACAGCTTTATCTGTATTTATTCATACTAAACATGTTTCCGTGTTTTCCAGGGAACCTTCCAGCAGATGTGGATCTCCAAACAGGAGTACGAAGAGGGAGGAAAGCAGTGTGTAGACAGGAAGTGCCCTTGATTTGTTATCCAGCCCCTCCATCACTGTCATTTTTTCCATAAGCTCAACATCATGAGTCACCCAACCTTGACCCTGGACTCAGGAACGACCACAGATGATCACTCTTGTTTTGTATGATTTGTTTTAAAAAAATATCTTAGTCTGTCTGAGATTTTGAAATCAGACATCTGCAAAGTAAACTGTTGCTATGATGAAATGAGGTTTTCTTTCCTTTGTTTATCTCTTTACAGCCATTTTGTTACCTAATCTTTACATTGTGTTTTGTAGAAACACTCCATCTTTATAGAAAAAACTAATTGTCTGACATTGACAAAAACAAAATTTGAAGGTAAACTTTGGGTGATGTGTATTTGGAGGAACAACCTTTCAGTTTGGGGTGAATGATGTCTTCTGTTCACAAGCCTTTCTTTGTGTAGTCAGTACGATCGTCAGAGGCCAGACAGTTCTGGCCTCTGCTTATTGGTGTCAAGTCATATAAACCTGTATTTAATTTTCACTTTGCTTGTCATTGGCCACATATGGTGTTTTAAAAATAAAGTCAGTTTTTGTTAAATATGTGATGAAAGTATAATTTCTTGCTTTAAAATTTAAATGGTTATTTTTTGTGTTACATGACATTTTTGTAACGGTATCAAATTATTGTAAAGTTGCATTCTTAAAGGTAGGGTAGGTAATTCACTTCAGAAACACTTTGTTATATTCCATGGAATGCTCTTAACATCCTGATAGAAATGAATAAATTAAATGCTTTGACAAATATATACAAATATTTCATCTGTGGAAGCCGCTGTAAAAAGCACGACCAATTATCTTCCTCGGCAGATAATTGGATGGCCTACCTGCCGGTCAGCCTTCCATCTCATGCACAAACTTATCTCGTGCCCTCATTGGTCACGTTCGTGTGTGTTGGAGGGGCTCTGTAAGGAAGTCTGAAGGAAGAGGCAGATTTTTTTTCGGTTGTGTACTTTCAAATTCTACCGCACTCAAGCTGGTTTCTCCATTCTTACCTACCCTACCTTTAACTCAAATGATCCCAAAACTTGAAAAGGACAGTTCCCACTAAATGTACTGACCCTTTATATACTCATTTTAGGGACTAGTAAAACAAGATAACCAAAACTCAATGCATATATTTTAATAGTAAGTTAAAAAAAAAAGATTTCAGGGGGATGTAGAATAATTTATCTTCCAGGATCAAACAGCTGGACAAATGCACTCATACTCAACATAGGACACGGTTTCAGATAACTCAGTTATTTGACACGAGCAGATATAAATTGAATTCTAACTTTGCAGATAGATGCGGCTGTCAAAACTCCTTGATTGTAAAAAGTGCATTTGAATTTTTTTACGATGCAGAAACTTTCATTTGAGGGAACTTCTCCTTAAGTTTCGACCGATTTCCCCTCTGTAAGGAGGTCTCCCTGGCCTTCCCTCGGAGATGCTTCTCCAAGCGCAGCCTGCAAGACAGAAAAAAATCATAATATTTTTTTTTCAAGAGAATAAGAATTTTATAATATATAAAATAAGACATCTTGTACATCTACTAAAACTTATTTTAAACAGTAACAAAGGCACAATAGTGATGCGAGCCGTATCTTACCTTATGTGTGGTTGGACAAACTTGGGTGTGAAGAACCTCTTTTGCTTATACCTCTTGTTCATGTACCAAGGAATAGCATATTCTTTGTAGCGATACCTGAGTAAAAGAAAAGAGTAAATTAAGCAACTTCCTGCATTTCCTTTTCTAAAGCCTGGGCCCTTAGAGGTATGGCAATTATATAACAGACCACCTGCAGGAATAATATGTGTCTACAAAAGAAATGATTGCAGCATAACTTGGTGTGTTACCACCACCTGTTGATCAATGGAATAGGGTAAAACATGCAGGAGCACGCCCAGAACTTAACACTGGTATAACTTCTTCTATAAATCCTTCCTTCGACTGCTGCAAACGTGTAGATCCACGTACAAGTCACGTAAACAGCCATGACTACGCTCTTCATCACTGTCTCCATCTCCTCGGTCTGTAGTCTGTACAGAGTTTGGTAGAAAGTGTCTGCCCCGAAACCTCTGCAACAGGAACCCAAACTATCCAGTATGACTATTCTAGGGCATATTAAAAGTACTTTCAAGAAAATCTGAAGAAGAGAGCATCCTCTGTAATTGGCTCTTGTACATTTTAATACGATCGCTTTGGCACTTATCTTTAAGGATCTGGGCTCTATTTTGTCTTTATATGAATGTCTGTCTGCAGCTATGGGTGTATTGCTGTTGAAAAAAACAAAATAGGGACCCATAGAAAAACTGCTCAGTAGTGCTACTGATCAATAACTCCACAGAGAACCTTTAAAATGTGAATAAATCGTGTTGCATTTCTCCATGTATACGTTTGATATAGCAAAAAGGAGGATCTGCTCTCACCAGTAGGAGTATCCAAATATGTTCCTCCTCCAGGCTCCTGGTCTGCCTTTCTCCTGTCCGGTCTGCAGCAGCCGCAGCGCAGTCTCTCTCTCCTTCACCACCGTCTCCAGGCGGAACATGGACCGGTTCACCTGGAAGGAGACAGTGTGATTTATCTTAGCCAGGGCTTCTACTTAAACACACACAACAGTCAAAATACTACAGGTACAAACCCTGCAACCAACCTAGACTGAGTAGAAGACTAGGTCAAAGTCTGTCTATCAAATACAATGTTGAATTGCTACATTAAATCAGGGTTTATAAAGCCTATAAAAGGTATCTTAAGCAAACATTCCCAGACTCTTGAAGCCTTTATCATCACATATAGATTATTATACTAAATGCAATTAGGGAAATTCAAGTTAACATCATTATTTATACCCACAGAAATCAATGTGTATAGTCCCTTTGTGTTTTTCATTCGGCTTTTATTTAACTTTTGATAATGATTATTTAATGCCCAGCTAGCTTCAGTTCACTAGTGTCTGTGGTGAGACGACAGGTGACAACAAATCAATATGACAAAGGTCTTGTTTCATTTCAAGTATTGAAAAATGTTTGGTTTACATGAGATATTGTGTAGTAGATGGAACATTAGACTATATTCGAAGATGAGCATTTTATTAAAAAATGTTCCTATCCTTTAAAATTAAGACGTTGTAAGAGCATGATAGTGGAGCATCATACCAACCTTCCTTATTCTTTCTGGACTTGGCATCTGAAGCCTTTGCCTTCTCGACTCCTGTTCAAGTGAGAGCAGCATGTTCTTTTCTTTCAACAGCACATACCTGAGACAGAACGAGAAAGTTAAACACTGCTGAGAAATGTGTTTCATATGTTTGAAGCACCAGTGTGAACCTAACTGTTCTTACCAGAGTTTGTGCAAATCCTCATTGCTCTTCGTCCTCAGTTGTTTGGCAGTCCATGGTGCACCTAAAACAAACATATTTCTATTAGTAAAGCTACATGCAGGCTGTAGAGCCATTAGAGTTATAGAATACTTCTGTGTTTTACCTGACTTCACGTTGTTCTCTCCCCAGTTCTCAGGCAGGTCGAAGAACTCGTTCAGCCCTCTCCTGCTGACGGTGGTGTGCAGGGCTCGACACTGACTCACAGCGCTGACAGGACTGCACCAAGACAGGGCAGCGAGAGGGGACGTTTCCCTGGTAGATGCAAAATAAATGCACATAACAAGATGAGTTTTAGACTAAACCTAAAACAATTGTATTATGCTACTTCTAAAATGTCTAGTCCTTTTTTTCAGACCAATAAACTAATTTGAGTGACTGCTGGTTTGTGGCAACCAATGACATTTAGTTATTATTTGTTAATTTATAGATAATTTCTTTTAAATACATTGTGTAGTCTTTACATTTTCAGAAAGAACTATTGAAAATGTCTTTAATCAAATGTTATATCTCGTTTTGATAGCCAAAAATCCGAACACGTTGAGTTTAGCCAATACAAATTAAATTACAAATGCAAATTCAAAATACAATTAAAAAGGCAATAAAAGTTTGAAATTGCTTTTTAAATTAAATAAATAATAGGATTTATTTTAGGGTTTGTCAGATACGTGCTCTGTGTGGTCTGTGAGAGTTTAAACTACATTGATTGGCAATACCTCCCATTGAAAACATAATAATTGAAACTAGACTTTCATGACTTTTATTCAGAAACCAAATAACTAATAATTTTTTAGTGTCCTGTCTGTCTGTAACTTTGTGTGGTAGTGTTACCACTGACAGGTCTCTCTTGCAAATGAGACCTTGTGTCTCAATGAGATTTTACACCTGTATAAATAAAGGCTAAATAAAAAAATAATAAAAAAGATAAACCCATGACTCTTTAAGTTAATCCAATGTCAATTAACTCAACACAAGTCTGCTGGTGGCATAATAAATGCAAGATGAAGAAGATGTCCAACCTTAATTTATTAGGACTGTTATTCATCGTATTGTATTAGCTAATGCCTCGTTACCTTTCATATATAATCACTGTCTGAAACACAATCTGTTACTGGGGAGCAGAGACAGTATGAGGTCGGAACACGTTGACTTTAACGTCATTTATAGGTCATGTTTTACACACTGCAACAGTGTCCTACCTGTACAGATGAGGCTGGCATCGGGTCAAAGTGGCAGTACAATGCTTAGTATTTATCGCAGAAGATATCCTAAAGACATTTTGAAACTGCTTGCAAAGAGTCAAAACGCGTCCTGCTGAAGAGGACGCCGCCATCTTTCCCCTAGTCCTTCCCACATTACCCATGATGCATTTCTCAAGTTTTTTATTTGTGATTGTTTTATTTTGTTCAATTATAAATATATGGCTGAGTTACAATGTTACGTACGTAATGTATGTACACGATAATACAACCAAAATAAAATAAAAACAATATTACATTAAAATACAAAAATGGTGGTTTCCGCTTCTCAACGTCGTCAACCAATCAAAGCTCGTGTTATTGGGCCGTCTCCAAGTAAAGATGGTGGGCATGAGTGTTCTCAGATCTGCTGCTGCTTTTGCAGCCAGATTGAGTCCTCTGAAATCTGGAAATAATGCGGCACAATTACTGTCTCGAACCATCCTACGCACAGATAAAGGTAAGAGATACCATGGCAGTTTAAAGAGGGAGTATTTTGACCCTGAAGCTGGCCCTCTCTTCTTGTGACCTTGCGCCGGGACTTTCTACCATGCTAATGTTAGCTAGATGTTAACATTTGTCCTGTTGTCAACAAAAAGCGCAACGTGTAGGTTAGTACTTCTAGTTACGTGTAGCTATATCGTATTTTGTCAGCATAATATTTTTAAGCTAACCTTCTTTCTGATACTGCCAATAGTGTTAGCCGGTGTAACACTTGTAATGTAGTTTGAACAACACCTCTCCCCATATAACCATGTCATGTTTCTCATACAAAAACATTGCAAAATGTAATTCACCCAATTTCTGCATTCTTTAGTGTTATACAAGCCTTATACACCATCTCCTGGAGTAACGTTAAGAGCTTAAATACAAGGGAATGTGTAATTTGAAATGTAAAGACCCTATAATATCATTTAAAAGCCTTTTGATAGTGATCATAATAAGGGTTTTTGCTTATATTGACCATACTCCATTTACTGTTAAAGAGGAAGAAGAAACATTTGAGGAATAATCATCAATATTGTGGATTTAGCTTTCCCAGATACTACAGCTTATGTTCATGACTATCACAAAAGCAAAAATCACAATCTGTCTAGTTTTATGTCATGATTTTAACACCATAGTCATAACACTATCCTCTGCCTTTGTCTTGCAGTGGCCGTGCGTTTTGGTGGTGGTGGTCATGGAAAGCAAATGTTTGTCGTCAAGTCCACTGAATTCTACGACAGTAGATTTCTGCGCTTGTTGGTGAGTACTGAAACACCTTCTCATTAATTTTCTGTGATCATCACCACATCACAGTTATTAGATAACAAGATACATTCCAGCTGCAGGCAATCTCCACAAACAGCCATGTTTTGATAGCCAAGGCACTTAAAAAGAGCCCTGCTGTACCTTCTTACTCATTTATTGTTTTGGCACTATAACGGTACGTCCACACGGCAGCGTTAAAAAAATCTTCCAACGCTTCTCCCCATTCACTTTGAATGAGGTGACGTCACTTTGCCTCACTTTTCGCCGAACTGCATTGTGGGAAGCAGAGCGGAGATTTGCTGGCGTGTCAGGCTGCAAAAGTTGAGCAATGTTCAACTTTTGAAGCTTCGGTGGAAGCGTCAGCCAATCAAATCCCGTTTATGCAGCCAATCAAATCGCGTGTATGCTGGGAGAGACACACCGCAGGTCATTTCCTCATATTCCAAAAAATGGAGCAAGCTTCAACGCACGCCGCTGTGTGGACGGGCCGTAAGCCTGTAATACCAGTTTATTCATGTTTAGACCCCCAACAGTGTTTAATGTTGTATTCCTGAAGGTATCAGCATCTCCGTTCAAAGTTAACTTTACCTGTTAAGCCTCAAGCCCCCGCCCCCGGGGGCTAAACGCAACATCTTGCAAGAAACAGCGTCTGAGGGCTTCTTAACATTTAACCACCTATTAATGTGTCATACCCACTTAACGGGAAGAAACTCAGCTAACTGACGATATGAACCATTTTTACCGAAACAAAACACAACTCTAACGCCAAGCCTCTGAATTAGCACTAAGCAAAAGAGTGCTAACGCACTTAGCACATAACTCGCGGTAGAAATATTGTATACTTCATCGGATCTGCACAAACAAGATATCATATGAAAGCTGAGATTCCACAGATTCCAAGTATCATCACTCCACGACCAAAACTCGCGGGAGCGAAGGCAAAACCAGACGACACACAACTTAAGCTGCTGAAGGTTAATCCAATGTCTCTGTGTCACTTTGAAATGACTACGGATAATCCATCATAACATTTTTGTCAATAACCGGAGTTTTCATATATAGCTGCTATGAGAGCTACGAGAGTGTATGAGAGCTTCCGGTTTTGGGCATGCTGGCTGCGCATCACTCTCTTCACCAATGGTAATGTTTAGATGGAATTTATGAACTTCCCCTCGATGCTATTGGCTCTAACGGTTCAAAAGTGGTGTCAATCACCAAAATCGACCGATGGGTTCCAGAGATATGGCAAATACACCCAAATGACCCCAGAAGTGGTTTTCTTTTTCTAAACCTTTCAAATTGAACTTGTTTTGCATCAATCTTGATACAGGGTACTTATTATATGTTATAGTTTGGATTCCTAAAGCTTTTTGTCTTCGATCCCATCATTCAAGGGTGGTTTTCACTATAAGTAATGTTTTTTTTTTTGGACGGAAACTATAATTTTTTTTTTTTTTACTATGTTCAATCTGAATTTACTTTAAAATAAAAACATCTATATTGATTCTGACTTTTCTACATCCAACTCACAGGTGTTTCATTGCTTTGAGAAAAAAGATTATTAATTTACCCCTTTTAGAAGTGAAGATATAGTCATTTGTTCTGGGAATGTCATTTTTGAGCCTGAGACCTGAAAAACAGGCTTGGGGCTTAACAGGTTAATGATTAATATGCTATTATCAGCATTATTTGAGAGCAGGTTTGATCATTCTCAATGTCACATTTATTTTCCATTAATAGAGATTTATCCCAAAAATATTTGCATATTGCTTCGGCAATAGAAAAAGCTTCCACACTTACAATTTGAACGTTACATGATGCAAATAGATATCCAGCCATGCAATCATCAAACCCTAAGTGGACAGAATTTCGAGTCTAACAATTACTCCTGTGCTGGTAGTTTCTGTGATATAAAAGTGTAATATAATGAAAAGCAATGCATAAAATGTCAACTAGTTTTGCGTCTAAATAATTATTGCTGACCAGTTGGCTTTGTGACAGCTGTAGCCGTGATCTTGATCCAATGTCATGCTGAACATTGGACTATTTTCTGTATTTAATTTTATCTTATTTTCCCCCCTCAGAGATTTTACCTTATGCTGACTGGCATTCCTGTGGCTATCATTATTACTGGTGTGAATGTCTTCAAGGGTAAGTAGGAATATACTGTATATATTCAAGTTTCAGGTGTATCTTCTTCAATTTAAAGATGTGGATTTGTCACAAAAAAACCGTAGATACATGTTACTTTGTATTTAAATTTGAGTTTGATTGTGTTGTAAAGGTGAGGCAGAGCTGGCTGAAATTCCTGAGGGCTACGAACCTGAGCACTGGGAGTACTACAAGGTAAGTCTTAACTAGCAGCTTATCTCATACACACTTTCAGGAGGTTTTTTGTGTCACTGATCTGGACCCTTGGAAGGGAACGATGGGCTCAAGCATGGTTTACATTTGGAAATAGAAGTCATTACCTATATGCCTTTTAAATTACAAAGCCTATAAGATGAGTTGGCCTTTGGTGAATGCTTAATGAGCAATATCATACCACATATGTTGTGCTTTTATTATCTAAACAGAGTTTTATACTTGTATATATTTCAGAGAGCAGCATATGCACAATTATCCTATCATTCATGTGGTAATATTGAGAGAAAAGTAAAAGGATAAAATCATATATAGTCACTTCCACTAAATCTACTTTATAAAGTCATCAATCATCATTTTCAATTCAGCTGCAAAATCTGTTATTGTTTATTTTATGTAATATATAAGTAGTCACTGAAAATCGTTTTGCATTCTGTCTTGCAGCACCCCATCACCAGGTGGATGACACGGACGTTGTTTGACTCTCCAGTGAAGGACTATGAGAAGATGATGGCTGCAATCCAATACGAGAAAGAAAAGTCCGACATGAGGTGAATTTGAGTGCTGCTGTGTTATTTTGTTACTTCTCCTTTGTGAAGGTCAGAGTGAAAATGTCCTTATGTTGTATTTAGTGCAACATTATCAAACTACTGCTTATAGCTTGCAGAAGTTAGGTGGTAATGCTATAATGCCTTTTTCCTTTGAGTGTTTCAGATTCCTTCTCATTAAAAACGTATGAGCAACATTGTTCTACATGTTGATAACATTTAATGGAATATCTATATAATATCTTTGTTTTCTGAATGGCTATTATTGTAACAAGTGTCCAGACGCACTGAGGCATCCAGGGAGCAGTGTGACAGTTTGTCCGAACACAAAAGGTTTCCTTTCAGCTGCTCTACTTTGCACTCAGTATAGCTATAAATGTCGATAAAGTTATATCATAGTCATTTGTATAGTCATCCATTTATGAATTTATTAAATATAATTCAAAATGTATCTTGTCAAACTTGAATGTATTAATTGTTACACACCAACAATGTATTTTAATGCTCATTAGGACTCTATACAGTTCACAAGCTTTGTTTCTACCATTTTTTTTTCATGATTTTTATATTTTTCATGGCTTTGGGACTTGTAGCACTATTCTGGGAATCACACCTTGCTCTTTTCTGTTATCTATGAATGATGATTTCATTAATTTCCTGCGTGTTTGTTGTCAACAGACTGACAAAGTTGGAGGTGAGTCGACAGATGAGGATGAAGGGAGACGGCCCCTGGTTTCAAGTGAAGACCCCCAACAAGGATTTAATTCACTACGGCCACAAGTCAACACCTGACGATTAATCTATCAGTACATTCTGCCGATCCTTCTCACTGTTTGTACATTTTTTCCCTTCTTACGTGAATAAAGTATCTATATCGACTCCCAATATTTTTGTTTTACAGTGTCTTTTTGGCTCCATTCTACAAAAAAAACGTTTTACCTTAAGATTAAAACCTTACCACTTAAAACAGACGAGTAGTGCAATCATGAGACTTTTAATGATGACTGTAAGGTTTTAGCAAGTTTTCTTCAACATTTTAAGGTAACTCTGTGAGTGATTTATAACAAATGGTCATATTGAGGCTGCAGTATTCCTTTAAATCATAAAGGAATTCCTTTAAATCGTTGTGAATAAGGTTACATTGCTGAGCAGGGAGGCAAGTTATTTATTTTGTGAAATCTGAATGTCATCTCCTTGTCTCTTGGTGCTTCATCTCGGTCAAAGATCATTTTTATATTAATTTCATCCATTTGTTTATTCAACCTAAGCATCCTAAGGGATGAGGACTGCAAATGAATTGTAGGTGTCCTAGATAGGTTGCATTTCTAATTCGTATATAGCACTGTTAATCTGTACTGTGCACAAATGGATACATAGCATTTTAACATCACATGTGTGATCCACAAGGAAGTTGGCAGGCAACACATAAGTCTCTCAACAAGGACACACTGTAGTGTAGGCAACGGGATACGATTTTGGCCAATATATTGTTTCTTTTTTTGCAATAGACGAGAGAGTCCACCTGGTGGCAGAGCTGTTCAGACATGATTGTTTGTAACTGACAAAGAACATTTGTATGTATAAGAATAAGATGCACTCATTTAACCTATTTGCTGTATATATTTTGATGCGACTGCTGCAATGTATTATGAGCGAAAAAGGCTACTGAGAAATAAAATTGAATGTATTTTTTAAATGTAGCCCTAATACATTATGTCAGAGCCTCTTATTGTGCTTTTAGGGTACTGCGAGTGGTAGATATTATTAAACCAAAGTGCACTTCATATTTATGCTTCTCCTGGATCCTGGAGGGGAAACATGCTGTAGTAAGTGTGGGTGGCTTTATGAATCATCCTCAGAGGTGGGAGGGGCCCCTCCGGTAAAACATCCCGTGTACAAAGCGTCACCACAGTCAACAGAAGCAATGTCATTTCTGCGCAGGTCTAAGATTTCTGCATGGTGGAAGAAAAAGGAAAACAACCAATAACGACAACATTAGCCTCCATGCTTTAAGCGTTGCCCCCGGTGTAGCAGACCAGCCTCCACCCCTCTGTCATTTTATTTGTATGTCTTTCAGCGTCACATCCCCCTGGCTGGAGGAATGTAGAGACGGAGGGATTTAAAAATAGCATCCTCTCCTCTGACACTCTGCTCCGGGGGCTCCGCCGCACTGTGGTGCGAGAAGCAGGAATGCGAAGATGGCTGCAGACCTCGGAGAGCTGCTGGTCCCATACATGCCCACCATCAGAGTGCCCAGGACCGGGGACAGGGTTTTCAAGAGCGAGTGCGCCTTCTCCTTCGACTCTCCCGTAAGTGTCCGCACACACACGTCGAGACAGGAGCGTGTTGTCCGGGGAGGGTGACGCGGGCTGACAGTCCCATTTGTCTTGGCTTAGAAACACACGTGAATCCGCTGTAATGTGTGTTTATGTGTCTCTATGACCACATTCCCCCTGAACTTGGGAGAAAATAAATAATTACATGTTGTTTACATCTCAGGAGAGGGATGGAGGGGCTTCCCTTTGTGCAGTTCAGGCCACATTAAAACACACAGGCTAACACACCTGCGTTTAGCCTTGAACTAATTAAATGAAGTGTTAGCTGCCCTGTCAGGGTGAAGCTAGTGTGTGTGTGAGTTTATAGCCACATTTACGTTGTTTTGTAATTTATAAAGCCTTTAAAGTTGACTCAGTGGTGCCTAACTGGAAGTTTGTAATCTCAGGAAAATATTTACATTATGCTCGTCGTAACTGAGAATATGTTATAGGGATTTTTAAAATATGAATTGTGCGAGTTAGCCTTTAGTGGCCTATTAAAGCTAGTTTATGTTGTGATGTAAAGTTACATTTCTCATCAAGTGGTTGTACAATGACTTATCTAAAATGCATGCTATCCATGAAAGTTTTTGTTATCCTTACTTGACTTAAATAACTCAATAGTGAGTTTGTAGTGGCCTTCATAGTAGAAGTGGTAGCCTACAGTATTTTTTACGTTGTTGTAACACCATGTGTCACTATAAAGTTTTGATCCAAAAGTTTTGATGCATGTTTCCAATATTTCTTTCATTTTCTGTTTTTTTTGTGGTTGAGAAAATAGCGATAAGGCTGCAAACATCAATATTTTGATTTATATAGTTTAAAAAACGTTTGATCTGTGAGAATAAATAAATTGTATGACCTTCCCTTTAAGTTGTAAAGACTAATTTCTTGTCGACAGACTGACAGACAGTCAGAGTTTTTGATTCTTCTACATACAGCATAAAAACCTACTTTCTCGACTTTCTGAAACCGTTTTTAAAGGTGACTCAGCTGTCTGGAGTTCATCATGTTGGCCGAGGGTCGGTTTATTTTTATCCTAGTGCTGTTGAAGCTCATATGTCACTCTGGGCCACTTAAAGGTTTATCACAGGGGTTTATACGGCCCACACTGATTGCAGATTTAGGTTAGTTTTGAGATGGTATTCTTCAAGTATCTTGTCTCTGACTGTCCATGTGTGAAAATACCGCAGGATGTTTCTGTCCCGTAACAATAAAACCCCATCCTGCATTTTCAAACACTTTAAATGTGAGCCACGAGTCACATGCAGATTAAATGATCATACCTGTTGTATCCTGTAACAAGTTTCAGATACTGTTAGTCAATCTAACATGAGACATGTGTGGGCTTCAGTCTTCATGGACTCAGCAGTTCTTTGAGGAATAAGGTTACTGTGTTTTTAAACCTGCAGATCCCCGGTGCCTCAAAAGCAGAGAGGAACTACTTGAACTTAGTTTGAGCTACATTAAATTCATAATTTTGTAGCTGTGTGTAACAAGATGCACATTCCTCAGTTAAAACAACAGTAACAACAACATTCACATATCGCATTGCTTGTATGTAACACAATATCACAATCTTGAGATATTGTCCGGCTAGAAATATTCTTTAAAATGGTGGAGATTATTTTTATTTACAGCATTAAAACAAAACGGGCTAATAAGCAGCAGGCATTTTCTTGAATAGAGTACAACTTTTTTTTCTGTGTAAGAATGCTGAAACCAATTTTTTGCTGCTTGACAACATGCAAAAATAGAAAGGCTTTTTGACTGTGTGTTTGCAGAATCATTGTCACACATCTCTGAAATATACTCTTTACATCTTGTGCTACAATTTTGTAACTAGTGCCAGATATGTGGCCAAAGTATCAAAATCCCAATTAAAATGTAGCTTTAACGTTGAGCAATCTTTGCTTTTGCTGAAATAATAATATTTACCCTATTTTCACTGTAAAATATTTGAAGTATTCCTCTGTGTGTCAGACCAGGCAATACAAAATAGAATATTTGTGAGGATATATATTTATATACAAGTAGAATAAAGCTGCTTTCTGGCTACTGCAATATAAAGATAGAAGTCACCAATTATTTTACTATATGGTAGAATAGACTTTCTGCATTTCTAAATGAGCTGTGTTGATGGTGCTCCACCTCGTGCTGCTGCTCATTGTTACTGTTTGTTTTGGTCTGCAGGAGTCAGAGGGAGGCCTGTATGTGTGTATGAACACATTCCTCGGCTTTGGACGAGAACATGTGGAGAGACATTATCGCAAAACAGGACAGAGCGTTTACATGCACCTCAAACGACACGTCAAAGAGGTACGTTTTACCCCGGCCCTGTGTGTTTATTTGGAACTGATTCTTTACTGGCACTTGTTGTTAAGAATGAGAATAATAATCTTTATTTACACATGGCTTTTAAAAAGCACATTTCAAAAGGGTTTTGCAATTAATAAAACCAGTATACAGAAAAGTAAATGAAAGAAATCAACTTAAATGTGAACATTTTGAAATCTTGATGCAGATTTGTGACCAGCTCTCAATTACACTATTAAATTCAAACTTGGTATTGCACACATATCTAATACTCTTTGAGAGTCTCACAACACATGGGAAAAGGTGTATGGTAGAATTGGAAAAATGGTTCAACTTTAATCCATATTTAAAAAATAAATAATAACAATAATCAAATAAATACAAATAAAATAATAATATTACAAATAAATATGAGCATTAAGAAGCAGTATACTGTTAATTTTTTTTGATAAATGGTTAACACCCTACTAATGTTTCTTAATGTATTTTGAATTATAATCAATACTAATATAGTAATATCCTCAACCCTTCATAAAAGTTATAATTGTTGACTCAATATTGTACATTGTTAAATGAAAATAATAAATGTCTTTGCTTAAAACTCAATCAGTACTGAACAGTGCTTTAGATAAAAAGGTACACTGTGTGTCCTGGTTCGCTGATACCACGATGCTGTTATTTTAAACATCAGTGATTAAATTACATGAGTGCATATTCTTGGAGCTCGATTGCTTGGTCATCAACGTTTAATTAAAGAAAGAGGAATATATAAACTCTGTTTTTAGCATGCGTGCTAACCCTCAGACTGAAACATGACTGAGGGTTTTTAGCGCTTTGTTTTAAATTCAGTGAATTGCTTTGTCTGTTCTGTTGGTAGCACTTTATTTGAAGTTCCCTCATTTCTTTATAATATAAATACTATTAAATTAGAGATGTTAACACTTAGTACACTTCCATTAAATAATAGAGTGTCATATAGTTAGTTTGCAGCGGGTCAGCTTAACATGCAAAAACATGATTTGTTTTGAAGGCAAGCATACAGTTCCAGTGACTGTGTATTGAGACTTAAGTTGTAAATGATAAACAAACAGTGAATGAATATTTGCTTGGGTTTAAATGGAGTGTTAGATTTTGAAGTTCCTAAATAGTACCAATTTAGATAGTGCTTTCCATAAAACGTCTATAGAGACTATCAAGGAAATGTTTTGAAATTATACATTTTTGAAATAGAGTTTTATCACTTTATCAAAGTTT